GAGAGGATATTTTGTTACTTGCACCAAACTTGCTACATATTTGCACTGCAATCTTGCACAACTTACACGGCAAGCTTCCTACAAGTTTAATGCAAGTTTTCGTGTTGATTGGGTAGCAACAATTACTTAAAGCACTGTTATTCGTAATGCCTTTCCTGTATACTTGAGCTTTATTAAAATTGACGAAATAATATTCGATTAATTAAACAGAAATCGAATTTTTGGATTTAAGGAAACTACTTCATATTTCGATAGATGGTCAAATTAATTTTTTTTTTAATTTTTTAAGAGTTAGATCTCTATTTTCCTGAGAAACATGATGTAGATGAAGATCCTGAAATTTCGTCAAATGTGATTTTGAGGATTAGACGTTACGAATAATAATATCAAAGCTGCTAATAACACTGCAGTCTGGCATATTATTTTATTTTAAAGTTCGAAATAGCCCAGGTGCGAATTTCGGTCGGCCGCCAGATATGGTTGGTTAGCCCATGTTCGGACCAACTAGGGCTGCACGAGAGTCGGCCGCCCTAGTTGGACCGACCATGGTAAATATTGCCACCCAAAGGTGGCCCGACTATGAATGCCAACGTCGGCACCCCTAGTTGGGCCAATTATGGTTCCCATAGTTGGGCCAACTGTGAGGGATAATGGTCGGCATGAATTGGGCAGCTACAGTTGGACCAACCTTGGCCGCCCTAGTTGGGCGGACTATGGAGAACAATGTCCGGCATGACTAGGGCACCCACAGTTGGGTCGACTATGGGGAACTATGGTCGGCATGACCTTGTCAGCCACCGTCGGTCAAACTGTGGTTGTCATAGTTGGGCCAACCGTTGAATACGACGTTCGGCAGCCACAGTTGGGCCAACCTTGGCCGCTATAGTTGGGCCGACTGTGGGATATAATGGTCGTTTCAATAATTAAAATATAAATACATGATAATTTAAACGCAAAATTTATTTCAAATTGACAAATTTTATTATCTAAATAATTTTTATTTTTATAATAATTTTTTGCCAACGCCAAAGTGATTCGACATGAAATAAATTGTTCATTATTATTTTATTATAAAATAGAATATTTATTAAATAATTTGAAATAGGTAATTTTTTTAAGAATTATTTTGTTAATACTATAATATTAATTATTATTATTTAAAATTTCTAAAAATACAGTCGGCATAGTCCCCCATAGACAGGCCCACTTTGGTATTTAATAATATTCTTTTGCATTCAAGTACGATGTCTATCAAAGAACTTTTAATTTCTGACTGGGGCGATTGAAAAACAATCCCTCATATAAGTCTGAGTCGAGTAACAATTTTTTTTTGCAAAGAGTAGATTAAGTTCATAATAAAGATAACTTATTTAAAAATTTGTTTAAAATAATTGTTCACTACAATAATTTTAAATACTAATGAGATTATTTTGTTTTCAAAAGGTTACTTTACACAATTTTTATACTTTATATTTTAACCGCTTTTTTGTTTATTTATAAATGTAATTAAATTAATGCCATTCAAAATGTCTCTCAATGTATATGTACAGTAATATTTATGCAGGAATCGTATTGATAAAAACTACTGTACATACATACAAATTATTAAAGCATGATTTAGACCTATTTTCTACAGAATGAATTTTTATCATCATTATATACCTGTTTAAGAAGGAATTTTAGTTCGTTATTTTATGAATTAATTACTTTTGTTTCCCCGTTACTAAAATTTTTAATTCAAAAAAATATATATTATTTTGATCTACAATGTAGTAGTTTAAAATGATAAACCATATACAGTTCGACCACGTGTTTGCTGACGTCTCTCAGTTTCTTATCGTAACAACACACTTTCAATATCCTCTTAGATTCACATAAAAATATTTGAATACCTGTCGTATGAAATAGCCGAGGGTAGCAAAACTTCGAATCTTTCCTGCTTAAATATGTCCTGCCACAAGGCAATAAAATACCTTTATCTCGCTCGTGCCATTACCCTCTTGTTCGGAGGGTTACCAATTTACATTTCTATTGGAGCTTCGAAAAGATAACTCCATTTAAATAAATTAGAAATGCTATCTCTGTTCTTTGTGGAAAGGGAGGATTAAGTGATATTTTATCAATTTTCGCAGTGATTCGTTACGTGGGAAGCTAAAATTTCATTCATCTTTAACTTGGTCACGAACGATTATTTATATATATATATATATATATATATATTATATTGAAATCGATCTGAATTTCTAAGCAACGTCGATATTTTCAAAGAATAAATGACAAATATTTAAATATAAATATCTTATTAATAAGATTTATAAGAGGCTTATCGGTCAAATTTTATTTATTAAATTATAAAATTAAAATTATTGTGTCGACGTTCCGGGTCGGTACCAACCCATCTTCAGGACTCATAAAAATAATATAAATAACATAAGTTACTTTAAAAAAAAATACTTGAACTATTTACAATTATAAAATTAAATAATATACCACTAAATACTAATTATTAAAAATTATTATTAAGATCAACGTGAACGATCGATATTAAAACACACATGACGAAGACTGAAGTGAGGTGACATAAAGATACTAGAGACTGTACAAGTGATGCGCATGACAAAGGCGGTAACAAAATTTAAATTTGAATCCCAAAAACTGTTATTGTTGTGAATTAGATCTATTTTTATTATTGGAAAAATTAAATTGTGATATAATGAACAGAGATTTTGAACATGTGTTTTAAGATTGATGTTTTTATGATTATTTGAAATATGTAACGTTTCTAGAGTTTTTCGTTTAAATAAATTCTGAGAATAGTCCCAATTTTTGCGCTTTTCAAATTAAATTCATGAAAATTAAGAACAGAATGCTTGCTAAGCGCGGCATTGGTTTTGAATTTAGAAACATCAGTGATATGTTACTTTTTTCTTACATTCAATGATCTGCTAGACTCGCCGATGTATACACCGGTACAGTCTTTACAATCTATTTTATAGACTATACCTGGCCTCTCACCAAGAGGTACAATAATAATAATAATTTAAATAATTTTACTGATTTACATAATAGTAGTAATAATAATAAAATGTTAGTTTTACCGTATGTAGAATCTCTACACGGAAAAAAATATTGTGCTAAATTTACATGGAGCAGATATTTTGAATATCTGTTTTGAGATTTATGTTTTATGATTATTTGAAATATGTAACATATCTAGAGTCTTAATTTATTGTTGTTTGTATTATTTAATTTTAGATTATTAGATTTTGTAATTTGTTTAAATTGATTTTGTAAACGGAAAAAAGTGGTGCTAATAACGCACCAGCATTTATCGTCCGTTAATTACATCATGTGAGACGTGTTTTTATTGGACAAAGCCATGCGCTCATAGTATTCCTTATTTTAATGTGAAAAAAGGTTAAAACATGTACCCCGATTTCATTAAAACCATACTATAAATGCTTCCCACCACTCAATATGAAATTTACTCGAAATCTATGCGCTTTTCAGATCGACTTCTTGCAATTTAGATTCAAATGAAGTGCGCATGCCTCACGAGTCTAGTCTCATTTGCAAGAAATCCATCCGAAAAGAGGATGGATTTCGAGCAAATTTTACATATGGAGGTGGAGAGCATTTCTTTCATGAGTTTTAAATGTTTATAGTATAGTGATGGGACTGAATTAGTATATACCTTTCCTATTACCGCGAAAAGTAAATTCATACAACGAATACACGTTTTCATGAAAGAATTTTTTGTTTAAAAATCACATAATGTCTAGCCAAAAGAGAAGCAATGCTTCATGTAAATTTAGCACAATATTTTTTTCCGTGTAGAGATTCTACATACGGAAAAACTAACATTTTATTATTATTACTACTATTATGTAAATCAGTAAAATTATTTTAATTATTATTATTATTGTACCTCTTGGTGAGAGGCCAGGTATAGTCTATAAAATAAATTGTAAAGAATGTACCGGTGTATACATCGGCGAATCTAGCAGATCATTGAATGTAAGAAAAAAGGAACATATCAATGATGTTTCTAAATTCAAAACCAATCCCGCGCTTAGCAAGCATTGTGTTCTTAATTTTCATGAATTTAATTTCAAAAACGCAAAAATTGGGATTATTCTCAAAATTTATTCAAACGAAAAACTCTAGAAACGTTACATATTTCAAATAATCATAAAAACATTAATCTTAAAACAGAAGTTCAAAATCTCAGTTCATTAAATCACAATTTAATTTTTGCCAATGATAAAAATAGATCTAATTCTCAACAATAACAGTTTTTGGCATTCAAATTTAAATTTTGTTACCGCCTTTGTGATTAATATCCATCGTTCACATTGATCTTAATAATTTTTAATAATTAGTATTTAGTGGTATATTATTTAATTTTATAATTGTAAATAGTTCAAGTATTTTTTTTTAAAGTAACTTATGTTATTTATATTATTTTTTTTAGTCCTGAAGATGGGTTGGTACCGACCCGAAACGTCGACACAATAATTTTAATTTTATAATTTAATAAATAAAATTTGACCGAAAAGCCTCTTATAAATCTTATTAATAAATTAAAACGGTCATTAACTTCATATATAAAAATCTTATTTTACAAAAATTTGTAAATAATATATGTTATCAATAACTATACTTAAACAATTTTCATGTGATACTGATTTAATTTAATTGAGTTGCCAATTAAAACAAGTTGTAAATAACATGTTTCTATAAAGAAAAAAAATTTGTTTCCGCCACTTTGAAAAATTTTATAAACGAAAGGACTACACAGCTTCCTTCACGAGGAAGCAATAGAAAAGTGTTGACAAATGAAAAAAAGAGATCACAATTGTTAATACATACATGATTTTGCAATTATTGCTTATTATTATTGGGTATTGTTTACCTTAATAATAATTTTAAAATATTAGACAAATATAAGAAATGTAAAAAAATGAAACCATAATTTAACTAAAGTTTTTAATAAAAAGTACTGTCAAAAGAAATATTTATTTTTAATTAAATTGTCGATAATAATAAATTTCGCTAATAGAAACAGTTATATAAAATTTAATTCATATTAATTTTTACATTTAAACATTTTTAATAAATTATTAATTGGTTTTAATAATCTGAAATACAAAATTGCTTTCTTAAATGTCATTATCGACATTTTACGTATCTATTTCACCACTTGTGTTGATTTTGGTCGAAGTGTTAATGTACATTTTAACATTTTTTTAGTGATTTTCACAATGATTGAACCGATTTCAAAATATTGTTGTTAGTCTTATAAAATCAACGAAAAACGTATCATTGGAATGAGCATCAATGAAGTACAAACATAAATAAAATTAAAAGTAATTAAACAAATCACATTAATTAAATCACAGATCATTTAAATGTCACTATTGACATTTTTCGTATCTTTTGCGCCACATGTGTTCATTGTGGTCGAAGAGTCCATTTTAACATTTGTCAGTGATATATAGAATGATTAAACAAAACTCATAACGTTGCTGTTTGTCTTTTAGAAATACATTTCTATGAAATTATAAAAAAACGATAATGATTTCGAAAATTCGACATTGGTTACATAATGTAACTTGAAGAGAAGATCAATTCCTGTAAGCGGATTTTCATTTTTATGAATCTCAATCATTCTTCCGTCACCAATGATGAAATATTTATTCATTTGTAATCCCGAAACAGCAAGCAAATAGGGTTGAACTGTTTCCACTGATTCAGTACGTAATGCAGAAACAGTTGCTTTAATGTCTGAGCTTTCCTATAAAATAAATGAATTTTATTAGTTCGAATCACCTCTGATTTTTCAATTTAATTTAATTAAAAACAAAGAAATTGATATTAAATAGTTAGTAGTTGAGTTTTAACCTTTAGCATTCTCAATAACTCGGGATTTGGAAAAGTTGAAGTAATAATATCTTTTGAAGTCGTCGGACCAAATAAGTTTTCGATTTCAGTTTCTCTGAATGCAGATTGTAGTCCTTTAGATAGTTTAATTCTCTCACTTGCACTTGGTCCTCCACTGGTACTACGTATACTCTTACGTTTGGGAATAAAATTTGCTGCAGGAAGTAGCACTGGTAATAGCATCAAAGCTTTCAAATTATCTATATAAAAATGTAAAAAAATTTATAACAAATGTAGAATTAAATATTTGTTAAATATTAAAAACTTCTGGTTTTCTTTCGCTGGCATACTTTAAAATTCGAGGAGCATACCAAGATTGGAATTTTCCTAAAAAATACGATTTCCAAGATCTGAAGCAATAAGAGAATTAATTCCATATACTTGTTACTTTTCGGTATTTTTCCGGATAGCAAAGAAGGAAAAACACGGATTAGGCACCAGGTCGGCATAGCTTTTTGACTGAGATTGTTTAAATATAAATACATGAAAAAATATAAATATATATATAAATATAAACTAAATATAATTTAGTAGGGTCAGCCGGGGTAAATCCGAACGCTAATTATTTCAGCTTAATTAAAATTTTTAAAAATAAGTTCGATATGAGAATTTTTACCTCAGATCCTCTTCAAGATATTCTAAGTATTATCCCATTTTTCGTTTGTTAATTAGCAACAGCATAAACAAAGATAACGAGTTTTGCAAAAAAGATTGAAAATCAAAGATGACACTCTTTCAGTATTTTGTCTCGTATTTGCAGAAAAAGAAGCTAAAAATTTATTTTATTATTTATAATTGTTTGTTATGAATACTAGAACAGAAACTATTTTTGATTTTTGCCTTCTGTAAAATTTTATTAATAATATCAGACCGTTCGTATTTACCCAGGAAAATCGGAAAACCGGGGTAAATCCGAACGGTATTTTCAATAATTTTTTTTTACATCAGAGCCACATAAAATTGTTTTTATTTCATTACACTATTATTTTAACATTATAAAAGTACATAGAAAAAAGTTTTTCTTTCTATACGTATCCTCGTTAGTAATTAATAAGCAGAAACTTAATCTCTGTTCTCTCGAAGGAGTGTTTCAATTTTTTTGCCAAATGGTTTGTTGAAAAAAGTTTTTCAGGATCTTAATAAAATTTGGTATTCTACGGTTTTTGGGGTCGCTAATTACCAATTTGAAGTCAGTTTTTCAAAATTCAAAATGGCGGACGAGAATTAAAAAATTCATTGGATTCGCTTGAAAATTGTTACTCGGGGTGTTTCAGGGTCGCTGATTACGAATTTGGAGTTAGCAAATTTGATCATTTTTAAAAATAAGTTTTAGGAAAGTCCGACATTTTGAATTTAAAAAATTTGACTTTTATTTTTGTATTTACATTCAATCATTCCAAAATACTTTCTGTACCAAGTTTTGCAAAAATCCGTTATGATTTGATAAAGTTATTGAAGGTTTTAATTGTGTAATGCATTTTAATTTTTAACCTGTTTGATTTTTGTATTTATATATGATGCATTATTACATAATAGGTTTATTATCGTATTTTTTTGAGTTTTTATATAAGTTTAACAATTGCAATACTTTAAAATTATTTTCCCTAAGATTTTTCTGAAATACAGTGGCGTTCGTATTTACCCCGGTATTTTAGGAAAGTTGCAAAATATCGAGGTAAATACGAACGCTAAGTTTCCTGCGATTGTAATTTATCAAAAATTTTTGCTACCCCATAAAATTGTTCTATGGAAGTAAAGTAACAACTTCATGCACCAGAATACCGGAAGTATTTTTTTTTTAAAGAAAAAACTTATGTTATTGTTGAAACTTACTAAAAGCGTTCGGATTTACCCCGGTTGACCCTAATATATCTCACAGTATAAACAATATACGATAAAAAAAGGAATAATCATAGACTGATTAATAATTTGCAATTTTTTATTTTATATAATTAAATATGAGTCGTTATCAAAACTACACAAGAATTTTCATAAAAAAGTTATATTGTACAAAACATAAAAATTGTTATTTTTTACATTATATTTTTTTAATGTTGTTTTTATTTTTTGTAAATTTTAACTTTTTTGTAAATGAAAAAAAAATTTTTTTAATTTGTTATTTTGTACATTAAATTTTTTTTGTTTTTTCTTAACGTTTTTTTTTACATAATTTTTTTAGTTATTTTTTACATATAGAAAAAAATTTTTTCGTTATTTTTTTGGGGCGGTTTGAGGTGCCCACAAACTAAATGCATACATTGAAACTGTATATAAGCTGCATTTACAAGTACAAATGAATTTTAACATTAATTCGTATGCAGTTTAAAGTTTGGGTCAGTTGGGGTAAATTGGGACAAAATCCGTATTTTTTTCACAAATTACGTAAGTTTCTTCCTTTAAAAGGTAATATTTGCGGATTTATTTTTTAAGTTATTATTTACATTCCCAGGATTAATTTTATGCAGCAGAAAAAATTTAGATAAGCTTTAAACGCATAAAACTGACTGTCCCCATTTACCGTAAGATTTAAATTTTTTTTTAAATTTGGGGTAAATGGGGTCAGCATAGTTTCTAAGAAAGGTTTAAGAAAAACGTTTCGTTAAGTATATTACTGTATTAAGGGATGGAAAAACTTGAAAAAAATTTGTAGTAGATATATAATAGTTGAACCAATTAAATTGTTAAGGAAATCATAAGGAATAAGAAAAATTTTTTGTATGATTTTTAAGTCTGTTTTCTTTGAAATGCTAGACAAAATACTTAAATAAAAAAAATAATAAAAGATATCAATTAAGCAAATTTAATCAATTTATAAAAAAAATTTAAGTTCGTCCGCCCTATTAAAAATTCCTTTCAAGTATTTTTATCCTTTAATACAGTAATATACTTAAGGAAACGTTTTTCTTAAACCTTTTTTAGAAACTATGCTGTCCCCATTTACCCCAAATTAAAATTTTTTTTTTAATCTTACTATAAATAAGGACAAACAGTTTCATGCGTTTAAAGCTTATCTAAATTTATTTCTGATGCATAAATTAATTAATTTGTGAAAAATACGGATTTTGTCCCCATTTACCCCAACTGACCAAAACTTTAAACTGTATACGAATTAATGTTAAAATTCATTTGTACTTGTAAATGCAGCTTATATACAGTTTCAATGTATGCATTTAGTTTGATCGAGTGATCTCAATATTTTGCAATGAAACTTTGGTGAAATATTGTTCAAATGTTGTACTATTATATAAAAATTTAATAAATATATTAACTCTTTCTGTATAGCCAAAAAAAATTCGTAAAAATATGCATTTTTTCATGAAATTAACCTTACCCCCCCCCATAATGATGGTACCGGATAACATCTACTTTTTACCACCTTAAGATCATAAATTCTTACCATCTATTTCTCTCCGTGTATTCAAATGAATTTTATCATTAATCATATGTAGTTTAAAGTTAGGAACAGTTGCGGTAAATGGGGACAAAATTCCTATTTTTCACAATTTAATTAATTTTATGAAGCAGAAATAAATTTAGATAAGCTTTAAACGCATGAAACTGACTGTCCCCATTTACCTTAAGATTTAAAAAAAAATTTTAATTTGGGGTAAATGGGGACAGCATATTTTCTAAGAAAGGTTTAAGAGAAACGTTTCCTTAAGTATATTACTGTATTAAGGGATAAAAATACTTGAAAGAAATTTTTAACAGGGTGAACGAACTTAAATTTTTTTTATAAATTGATTACGTTTGCTTAATTGATATCTTTTATTATTTTTTTTATTTAAGTATTTTGTCTCGCATTTCAAAGAAAACAGACTTAAAAATCATATAAAATTTTTTTCTTATTTCCTTAACAAAAATCCACTTGAATTTTTTATTTTTGTCGATTTGGTTAATAATAGCAAGTTGTCCTCATTTACTCCGAGTCTTTAAATTTTTAGGGTTATTATTAACCAAATTGACAAAAATCAAAAATTCAAATGAATTTCTGTTATGGGAGTCATAAGGAATAAGAAACAAATTTTATATGATTTTTAAGTCTGCTTTTTTCAAATGCGAGACAAAATACTGAAATAAAAAAAATTTAATTGGTTTAACTATTATATATCTACTACAAATTTTTTTCAAGTTTTTCCATCCCTTAATACAGTAATATACTTAACGAAACGTTTTTCTTAAACCTTTCTTACAAACTATGCTGTCCCCATTTACCCCAAATTTAAAAAAAAATTTTAAATCTTACGGTAAATGGGGACAGTCAGTTTTATGCATTTAAAGCTTATCTAAATTTTTTCTGCTGCATAAAATTAATCCTGGGAATGTAAATAATAACTCAAAAAATAAATCCGCAAATATTACCTTTTAAAGGAAGAAACTTACGTAATTTGTGAAAAATACGGATTTTGTCCCCATTTACCCCAACTGACCCAAACTTTAAACTGCATACGAATTAATGTTAAAATTCATTTGTACTTGTAAATGCAGTTTATATACAGTTTCAATGTATGCATTTAGTTTGTGGGCACCTCAAACCGCCCCAAAAAAATAACGAAAATTTTTTTTTCTATATGTAAAAAATAACAAAAAAAATTATGTAAAAAATAACTAAAAAAATTATGTAAAAAATAACGTTAAGAAAAAACAAAAAAAATTCAACGTACAAAATAACAAGTTAAAAAAAAATTTCATTTACAAAAAAGTTAAAAAATTAATTCTTTATGGACGGGAAGGACACTTTTTTAGAGCAATTTTCAATGACATATTTCTCTGCGACTAAGAATTTTAAAAATTTGAGCGGAATTGTGTCTTATGTATTCGATATCGCTCTTTCAGAATCCATATTCAAAATTTTGAAAAAATCAAAATTCAAAAAGTTACGGCCACGTTTTTGAAAAAAACACAGTTTTTTGAAAATTTTTTATTTTAAATTATTATTTTTCGAAGCTATTCGCTTGAGGAGATGCATAAAACCTTAAAATATCGTGTCCTAAATGTTCAGACATGAAAATGGTGCAAAAGATTTTTTTAAATTCAAGATGGCGTACCAAAAATGGCGTCCAAATTCAAAATTTTTTACAAAATTATAACCTAGTGGACGAAATTTTAAAAAATGCTCAAATGTGCTTGAAATTTGTTACTCGGGAGGTTTTTGGGGTCGCTGATTACGAATCTGATATTAGTTTTTCAAAATTCAAAATGGCGGATCCAATATGGCGGACGACTTTTTAAAAAATTGATCCAATTTGCCTGAAATTTGTTACTCGGGGGTTTTTGGGGTCGCTGATTA